TGACTGAGTAACTTTTACTTGTAGTGGAGTAGATTTGACCATGAGTATCAATACTTTTACTCAAGTACTAGAGTTGAGTACTTTGTCCACCACTGTACATAATGTAATTCTAACAAATTGATCAAATATATAACTTATCAATTTAGACATAAAAATGTTTCATAAGTTGTCTAGTGTGACAGGGCCTTCACTGACATTTTGGAGAACTTATGCCATCTGAAAATTTTGACTTGCTTAATTCGATCTAATTGTTAGCATTACAGTATGTTAGATTTATTAATTTCACCTTAGACATCTTTAGTGTTGGACAAACTTTTCACAAGTTGGCATCTGTTGTCTAAAATGTTAGTGTGGGGTTCAATCCTGGCTCTTGATGGCCACTGTCCTGTACGTTTTACTTGTTTCTCTGGTTCAACGCACCTGATATGAATTAATGGGTGAYTAACAGGCTTCTGCRGAACTTGAAGAGGTAATTCAGTTGTCGAATCAGGTGTGTTGGAGCAGGGAAACAAGTAAAACGTGCAGGGATTGGACACTTGATCTAATGCGTACCAGACACAAATGTGTTTTTATGTTTTTTGTTAATTGTGTTTTTAGTGTATTTACTTAGTATGAGATTTTGAACAGAGTAGCATTTAAAAATGTAATGTTTTTGGCACTACAATAACCATTAATGTCATTTTGAGCTGCCATAAAATTGAACCAGTTCTCATGTTAAAAAAAGGAGTTAGGTTTTTTAATATTGCACTCAGAAGGGCTTGGAGCAGACAGTTCATGGTAATGCACTGAATTTGTTCACGATTCCAAGCAAGCTACGCATTAAGCAGGCAATGAGTTAACTTTTATGTTTGTGTTGACGGTGGTTTCCAGACAGACGGGCTGAATCAGCTCGTCTGTTGACTTAATGAAGCAAGACGAACTCATTGGCATCGTTGCCCAATTCGACAAATGATTTATCGCTCTTATCTCGATGAAGGATTTGGTTTTAAACAAGCCTGTTTAATGGGAAGCTTATGAGTCACGTTTGCAGTAAAAGACACCAGATATGAGTTTAACCCTCATCTATTTTAGTGAAACTTAAACTTTTAAAAGTTTCCTTTTGATTTGATGACGTGAAATTTTGTCTTTTTCCACTCAACATGTTTTATATTATTTTATTTATTGGAGTGGTCATTTTTTAGTTAAGAAATAAACACAGCAGGAGAGTTGCACCATTAGAAGATGGTGCAATAGATCACTGTCCCATCTGTGCTGTGTGTTCTCTCTCCATGTATCAGCGAGGGTTAAGGCTGGGTCTGCTCGCCTGTTCCAGATCTGTAGGGAATCCAGCTCTTCAAGAATGTGGGCAGCTGCATCAGCCTGCGAGCCAGATATAGCAAAACCACAATGTCTCCCTGGGCAGGAGGCCTCATCTTTGTCCAGACATCTAACTTCCATTTTCAAGCTATACATGGATTATATWGGGCATAAATCTTTATTCCTGCTCAGCGCGGATTGTAAAGATATTTCTGAGGTCAAGGTTCGTCTCAAGTGCAGGTCAGACGAGCAGCTCTGTGCGTCACGTTTGGTGATGTAGGTCAGTTTTACCCAGCTGTTCCTGTCCCATGGCCTCGCCTCGCAGACCTGACAGGCAAAGTCACTCAAGCAAACGTCTGTCTGTGTTCTACCTCTAAACGAGACTAAAACAATTCAAGTWTGCAATTATTTCAAGAGCAGACAATGTTTGTGTCCAGCAACAAAATGTCTGATCATAACAGAAATGTAAAAATAACCCGTCAGAGTTAAAGGTCACTAATCAGTCGTGTGTGTGTGTGTACGTGCGTGTGTGTGTGTTTCCTACAAGTTGGGGAAAATTTTCCCAAAAAAAAGCAGCCTCGTGGGGGCCGAAGTGCATTATGGGGACCAATGCCCGGTCCCAACAGGTCCGAATACAAATTATTGGTGGGTTTAGGACCAAGGTTTAGGTTAGCTTGAGGGTCAAGTAAGTACCTGTGGGGTTAATTTTAGGGTAAATGGTCAGGGTTAGGCTATAAAGTCTTTAAAAAATGAATGGAAGTCAATGGAAGGTCCCCACGGGGTTTAAGAACAAACGTGTGTGTGTGTGTGTTCACTGCTCTGTTTATGCACAAGATGAATAAAAACTAGAACAAAAAAAAAAAAAAACACGTGCCGGATAAGTGATAAGCGCCACGTGACTCTGTTCTGTGGTTTCAAGGGATTCCTTCTCTAGGGTAAATTTACAAACCCCCTAAAACCTACATGCAGACGTACAGAAAGTCTACGTTCCAAACTGATCTGCACTTTACCGAGCAGATTATTTTAACACAGTTTTAATGCTTGTGTTGTAAGAACACTCTTTAACTCTCACTTCCTGAAAGTTTCAGTAAAATCTATCTGGTGATTTATGCTATTTTGCTAACAGACAAACCACTAATGCTAACATTTTAGGCAAAAGTTTAGCTCAACCTGCAGAACTTACAGTATATTAGGGCTATTCAACTTGTGTCCCGCAGGCCACATCTGGCCCACAAGCGACCAAAGTTCGACCCGTCTTTTGGTTTATTAATCTCCTTATTAATGACAAACCCCCGGTTTTCTACGTTGATTATAGAAGTTMTTTTAGTTAGACGTAGATGTTTGGTWTCTACAGAAATGTCAGGATCTTGGCTAGAAGCTGGTTAAAAACAATTTCTATGAACATCCAAGACAGGTAAAACTACAAGCAGTTAGATCAAAGATAAAACTATGAAAGTGAAAATAAAATTGGTTAAAAAATTTGGCAAGTCAGAGATGTCAAAATATTTGTGTTGAATAGGAGGCATAATGTGTAATTTTTGTTTTTGATATTGATTATCACTACTTTTATTATAGGGTTCTGTATGTTGTATTCATGATTAAATGCAGCAACATAAACTATTTCAAAGGTAACAGATCTTTGTAACACTTGGTTTATTTACATAATGACTTTAATTGCTGGATATTCGGCCCCTGAGCTGCTGGCCAGCAGTAACTGTGGCCCCTTGAGCAATTTATTTGAATAGCAGGAATCCAATAAACTGCAGTATATGACTCTCASCTACTACCACACAACAGTTTTGCAGCATGTCTGTAAAAGTGAGAAAGTGTAACTGGTTGCAGTGGTCGAGGTAATGATTGTTTCCTGAACGTTTCACTAAAATCCATTCATTGGTTCGTGAAATATTTTTCTAGTGGACAGAGTTGACTCCAGTAGTTAAATGGTGAAGTTGTATAATGTTTGGAATCAGGCAAAAAGAAAGGGGAAAACTAAACACTGCAGTGTGTTTGGTGAATAACAGACTCTACATCAAAACAAGCTGTTGATCCCCTCTAAACAGATTTTCTATAATTATCTGACAGTTTTTTTCTAATTGTAAAGTTATGTAGCTATTTATGTCAAGAATGTTTCTTTGCAGCAGCTGGGAGCGGGAGTGGGAGGGGGTCCAAATAGGGTGTATATTACTGAGCACATGATGGGGAAACATGAGCTCGTCTGTAACTCACTGGACAAGGAGTAAATCACTGAGCATATTTAAAACAATAATCTCTAACCAAACATTGTGGATTGTGATTACGTAACCACCCACCTCACTTCTCGATTTGACACTTGTACAGGTGTGAAACATTGTTTTGGGAAGTCTCTTCCTCGCACTACTTCGAACAACGCTCGGAGGTGACGCGTCTTGCTCAAAACGAACCCTGCCAACTCATGTTTCTCCATCGGAGGGCTGGCTGAAGACAGGGTTAGGCTCTATTTTTGTTTCCTGGCCCTGTTCGAGCCCAGGGACCACATGGTCGGGCTGAACATCGTCAGGGTAACAATCTAAATACACTCAAGCAGACCACATGTGATTCTATATAGATGAACTTGTTTCACATTAGACACGTTTCTCTGCTGGAAATGCAGCCAACAGTTTTCCAGGGCGATGTGAGTTCATAAAAAAAAACTCACCAAAGAACTCCATTCCTCGATTTCTGCTGCACTTTGACATAAAACCTGAGACACACAAGTTACTCATTAAAGCACATTCTATCATCAGCTAATATAACAAAGCAAAACAAAAAAAGACTTGATATTTTGAACTTCTTGAATAGATTATTCAGTATTACATAGGGTTGGCACTGTATCTTGCTCAACTCTATCACGTCTTACTCCACTGTAAGGGGTAGACATTGTTGCCCAATGTGCAACAAATGTGTGAGAACAACATTATTTTACTCCAGGCATGAAATTATACTGTATTTATTTAAGATTTTGGAAGTATGCCACACTGTCAGGTTTTTAGATCCATCACAAGTGTGATGGTACACATTGTACAATACACATGTTGCGACATCATCAGGGAGTACTGCATACACACAAGACTGTTTTATTTATGTTGTACTTAGGGTCGTTTACTGTTTTTGATTTGATTTGATTTGATGATGCCTTTATTGTCATTGTACAGAGCACAATGAAATTACATTCAAGAGACACACATGGGAAAACAGGTGATCAGGTCATGCGGCAACCAGCAGGGGTCGTGCTACCTTTAAAAAGAAAAACAAAAATACCACACAAGGGTAGATGAGGAAAAAACAACAAAACATATCAACAAAATGTGACACTGTGGAGTTTATAGAAAAAGCTCCTCAGAGCAAGAATTTATTAGTCAGAGGAGTAGTGAGTTTAGAGGGCGTGTGTCTGAAGCCATGAATGTTGTATGCACTTGTGTGAACGTCTGAAGAATGAGTCCGAAGAGTCCAGCCCCCAAAAGAAAAACCCATACTGCAGGGGTGTATATTGTTTGTTGAGTCAATATGTATAATTTGAATCCTGTGTGGATTAGAGAAACTCCATGATAGATTCAAACTTGTGCACCCAATTCTGGTTTAAAAAAAAAAAAAAAAGCAAAACAAAACTAATAAAAACTGAAAGTGTACATTGTTAATTGTTCCACCCTTGATCATTCAAACAAATTACTGGATCCCTGAAATAAATGACGTGTCCGTCTGAGCACAGCTGTGTTTGCCACACTCGTCCTTTTGTGATCAATGTGAGAACGTTTGAGGCAAAATATCCAATAATATACTTACCTACAGTACTTATGTAATGGAAATAATACGTTTAAGCCAGTAATTCACGACATAATTTAATGACCTAAGTTTTCATGACAGTGATCAGTGATTATAGCCAGAACACGATTTGATAACAACAATCATTCTTAGATTTCACTTGTGTTTATCTTTGTGTTTTCCCTTGACCCAGCATTTCCTTAGGATGAAATCTTGCTTTATTAAGATGACATAATGGTGTTTGTTAAACAATATATATATATATATATATATATGAGACCTCAACTGCTTCAGGAGCAGAGTGCATGGCTCGATGTTGTTCTCTGTGTTTCCTGTTGTTGCAATAAAACTCAGCTGATCATTCCACGGAGTGCCTTCATTCTTTGGACCACATATTTCTGTCTTTGTCAAGTAAATATTTCCATAACATTTACTTAAATAAAATAAATAACCATATGGCTAACAGTTACAGATTTGCACTTCTGCTAATGACACATCCTCTGCTTGTCAGTGCAGGACATTTCCCTGCAATTACTGGATTATTAGAAAACTTATTTTCCTTGCAGCAAGCAATGTGAGCGTGTTTGCAGCTCGGAGTGTCCCTCACTCCGTCTGTGAGCTGTCCAGTTCCAGCTAAAAGCAGCGCAGATGCTGATCCTTAAATCAAGATCAACAACATGTGGCTACCAAACTACTCTACCTTGTCATAACAGAAACTTAGAAGAGTGATGTGGAAATAAGTTGCTCTACTGTAAACAAGATGTCTTACATTTAGAGACAATGTGGGGGAACTTTACCACCACACCCAAATTGTTGTAAACACATTAATTAAAGTTAATTAAGTTGGTCTGTTTGATGTACTGTAGGTACAACTGCATATTAACATGTCAAGAAAAGATGATTTCTGAGTTATTTTGTTGTTATGGATAAAAGACAAGGAAAGCTGTCAACAAGTGTTTTTCTTTGGTATATAATTTCCCTAATATAAAAGCATGCAAGCAAGTTAAATGGTAGTACAAGACAAATACAAAAACAAATGTACAAATGAACTATTAATTTAACCATAAATTTTAGCTCAGTATTTGTAACATTGTCTAAGTTATAGCTTTTTTGTGTTATCTAAGTTCAGTTGCTTGTGGTGGACATCTCGATTTTATGTGGCAATAAATTTAATCATCTGTAGAATAAAGGATTATTTCCTGGTTTAATAAAGTCTAGATATCACGCTTACAGACATATCACCTGCAATTAGTTAATGGCAAAATTCTGAATAAAGACATTTTGCAGTGTGTTAGATCTCAAAATGTGTTGGGTGTCAGTCTCAGCCAAGATTTAGCTCTCTGTAAAATTGAGTTACTGACATTTTTGTGTTTGAATGTCACATCACAAAAGAGTGGATGTAGCCTGACATCTGCTGGAGAAAATAAGTACTGCACTTTGTCCAAGTAATCCTGTTGTAAATTTTGAAAACAAAACAAAAACAAAAAACAGCAATTATAGGCCCAGATATATTATTTATTTATGCTTTTTCGAACAACTAATGTGTTTTAAAAGCAAAAATAAATATACGAATATAATCAAACTGAAAGCAAATATGAGTAACAAGGTCACTTATCAATAAATGATTAACAATCATTCGTTACTAAGTCTGTGATGTTAACCTGATTAATGTTTTAGCAAGTCAAATGACCAAGAGTCACTGTTTTTTTCACTTGTAATTTCTGTCATCGCTCTGCTCTCTGATTGGATGCGGTGACTAAAAACAGAGGCAGCAGCCAATCACCGGCTTCGGTGTCCAGTTGCCACTCCCCCCCCTCCCCCTCCAGTGCTCTCCCCGCCTTCAGGTGACGTCACGTCCAGCCAACGCGATACCGTTCACTCCACTGGACTTTGGAGATACAGAGGGTGGTCGCTCATTGCGTTGTAGRGAAACAAGAAAATAAAACATCGAAAGGTGGAAGCTCGTAGTGAAGTTGGCACTGCTGCGACTGGAAACGCGTTGGACGTCTGTTTGTTTTAAGGTGAGCAATAASGTGTCCGTTAACCTTTAATATTTACGTGTTTAGGTGAACTTACAGGGTAAGGAACTGGGCAGGGTTATGGCCTGCAGGTGCCACATCTGTTTTAGCACATCTCCGCAGTCACGTTTATTAAGTTRTATCGATATCCTAACCTAATAATAATGTCAGTGTGGGGGGGAAACGCTTTTATTGATACACGTAAACCTCAGCTATTGATACAAATAAGAGCTAAATATATWATTTCATTGTGTCGTTAGCTTGATTCATCAGGGTGCTTCATGTCTCCTGTTAGCACGTTTAGTTGTCCTGATTTGGTTTAGTTTATCTTATGTTTTGTTTGCTCTGAGTGGGTCTTTGTGAAGATAAATGGACTCATAATTAGGTCCAAAGGGGTATCTTCASATACAACCATGTATTTATGTCCCTGAAGTTCATTAAAACCAAGCAATGGTTGCTTGGTCACAAAGCTGCTTTATTGCTGCGCAGCTTATAGTATGCACCTGTTTTTATTGTTAAAATTACTGAAATGTGCTGTCTGCCTAAATATCTGGTTACAGTACATGTATTTTCTTACAGTGTCCTGAGGTGGTTTCACATGAACTGACTTTTTTTTTTTGCGTTGTTGTTGTTTTTGAATAAGTAATGTGATTAGGTTCAAAGGGATTTAGGGCTTCCAGATGTTTTGGATGTACTGTCCATGTAAATGCTACCTGATCTTAACACCATAATTTTGTTTTGGAAACATTATTTGAGCTCATTCACTGACATCTGCTGTTTAGTTAAGGAAAACCAAAGAGCATTCATGCAAACTAACCCAGAGACAAACCCACAGTAAAAATAAACACACAAACAAGACTTCTCCTCCTAGTTGAGAAGAGGTTATACAAAATCCAAGGTGTTTACATCCAGTAAGTGGAATAAAGATTAACTTTGAAGCTAATGGTAGCAGATGGCTCATTGTTTTGAATGGTGTGTAATCACAGGAGAAGAAGCCTGTTTACCAGGAAATGGGGGGGAAAAAAAGATCTGATAACCATTTTCAAAAGGCTTTCCCATAGCCTAAAGGAGGGACAGGTGAAGCTGACACCATTCAGGTGAGATGTGGGTCAGCTGGTATTATAAAAGCTGCCTTTAGGCTTCACTGTGACCAAACCTTCCAACGCCGTGTCATCATTTAGTGGCTTTTATGACCAATTCAGGTGATGAAATGTCCAACACAGCACCGTGAAGCTTAGTTGTGTTAGAAAAAATCATGTTTTATGTCTGATCTGTTCAATGTTCTGAAGATTTTACAGATAATGTACAACGAATCCTTTCCTCTGGGAGAATGTTTTCCCTAAGCTGCCGTTAAACCTTATTATCACCCACCTCCATAATTGAAATGGTGAAAATAAGCCTGTGTGTGTCTGTCTGTTAGCAGCATATCATTTGAAACCCTGAACAGAATTTGAGTTAAAATCTCAGAGAGTAATCAGTAACTGCATCAATAAATCATTAACGTTTAACTCGATTCAAACTGGCCAACACAGCTAACCAACTTTAGACAGCACAAACATTGCTATAACTGCTAATTTTACAAAATTTGAGCTACAATTCAGTGAAGCTGAGAGTCGTATCCAGCAGCGCAACACATCACACAAGGTCGCTCATAACTTTACAAGGTTTCAGCAAAATGACTATAACGTTGTCCCTTCTCAGTAATCGATGATTTAGTTTAAAACTCCTGCATGAGAAGTGGCAGGCAATATGTTTTCCTTCAAGGAATTCTAGGTTTTTTATTACGATTATACAAATAGATATAAAACAGTCCTGTATGCTTTAAATGCAGGTAAGTCAATATTAGTTTTTCCAAAGCAAATAAGTACAGATAAGCAATTACTAAGTTTTTTTTTGGTCTTTATCCAATGTGTTAGAACTAAATTAGTTTTCTGTTCCAGCATTTGTTATTTTAGTTTCTGAGGTTTGACGGCTGGGAAAGATGAACAGAAACTAGTGTTTACAGTGTACATAAGACATGACTGAAACTTCCTGTGAGGACTGGTGCTTTGGCTCTCAGTCCAGCCTGTTTTCCATTGTTATTCATGAGCATGGTGGTTTGTGATGCGTCCGGATCATCACAAGCCATTAGCTGGTTGTGAAATCCACTTTTGTTCTAACAAGGTCTAAAGGGGAACAGATAACCCTCTTCAGGCACCCAGCGGATCATGCACATTTTAGTATTTCACTGGCTTAAAGTTTAAACCTGGAAGCAGGTTCTTGACTGTTTTCCCCATCCCCAGGTTTCACACACACCTCTCACAATACCAGTGTGTGATCTGGTATGGCTCGTCACATTTGTGTGTGAATGAGGAAGAAAACAAGCGTGAAAACAACCAGCACAGGCCTGTAAAGTCACAGCAGTACCCACCTTCCCTCTTCTATTTGATTTCTTTTTGGTTCATTTCCGTAGTCTCATCTGGAGCTGGATGTTTGTAAAGTTGTGTGTGTGAACCATAAGATAATAGTACTTAACTCTGGTTGGGCTGGAATTGATCACTGAATCGTGAGCTGCCTTCTGCAAACATAAAAACACTCGTCTATAGTCTCTCTTTGCTTCGTGGCTTTTGTTTTTTTGTGTTTTTACAGAGAAAGAAAAAAAAAAAAGAGACATCTGCAGGGTCAGAAAATGCTGATGTAGCAGCCTAAACTTTACTTCCAAAAACTTTGGAGCACATGAAGGGAGACACGAGACATTTGCAGACATGACCTGCCAGATGAATGGAGAGAACAGAATCTGTTAGGGACACTAATGAACTAAATGACAAACGACTGACTGAGAGACGAGCAGGAACAGGTGAAGGAGGGAGCAGATGAAAAATAAACACAGCAATAATGAAACACTAAGTATGAAACTCAGCCTGATAATGATGTCTTATCTGCACTGAAATGAATTCATTACTTATGTCTCTTGAGGTTACGTAATCTTCTGTAAAAGAGGGCCAAGGTAAGCCCTGATATTCCTTCCATTTGGTTTGTTTGCAGTAAACCAGGTCAATATGTAAACGTGTTTCTTATATACATTTATTAGTAGAAGTGTTTTTGTTGTAATTCTTTGAACTGTAATTACATCTTTCCTCTAGTTCATTACCAGAAAAACTGGAAATCAGATTGGTGCTAGTTGGAGGTGGACCAATCACAGATTTCTAGACTGATTCCAATTCCTTACTTTTGTAAAGCTCCAACCTTCCAATTTAACTTTTATCTATAAAAATAAAGAATACTTTCTAGCTTTTATGGAAATTTGTCTCTGTTTTTATGACTTTATAGTAAAAAAACTTGCATTTTCTCCAAAAGCAGCCCAGTTTACAGAGCTGTCTTTGTCGCTGCATTTAGGTCTGCAGGACATTAAGAAAACCTTAACCTGCACCCCTTTTTCAAATCTACAAATCCTCTAAATCAGTGGTTCCCAAACTTTTTATCTTCTGACCCACAAAATATCCATGGCAAAACCTTGTGACCCCAAATATTACTGGTCTGAGTACACAAA